CATAATATAAGTATTTCTGTCTCATTTAACTAAAACAAAGCTCGTCTGTCTTTAGCTTACAACGCAACAATAACAGAACCAAGACGAGGCTACATCGCTAGTCCAGGTTATCCACTGAAGTACCCGGCGAATTCCTACTTCTCCTGGACCATCACAGGAACACCGGGTAGTTTTATTTCCTTGATGTAAATACTTTCACTTTCATATCCATAACAATGCGCATTATAAATTGAACAATCATGTGCCGAAATGTGCGTAAAGTCAGTAAACGCTTTGAAATGTGTTGTGATTAAAATATATATAAATTTATAATTTTTATTATTTTTTTATGGCTGCATGCATTGATTTAAAAAAAAATAAAAGAATTTCCACTTGAAAATAATGAAATAAGCAAGAACATAAGAAATACATTTCATAAGAGCATCTTTATGACTATTTACTATTCTATAAAACCAAGATAACACGCTTAAACATAAGGAATGCGCGTAAAACAAATGATCAAATGAGTAAAATAAAATATATTGGATATATTTTATATTATAATTATCTTGTTTTCCCAGAGCTACTTCCATTTTACTATCACTGAGTAAAGGCCCTTGTTTTTTCGTGACATAATTCAGTAGTTCCTCCACATTCTTTTCAAGTTGGAGATGGGTGGGTGGGGCGGTGAGGTAGGTGGTAGGGGTGGGGAGGTGGATGGGCGGGAAGGTGGGTGCTGGGACCGGAAGGTTTGTGGGTAGGACGGGGAGGTAGGTGTGCGGGAAGGCGGGTGGTGGGACCGGAATGTGGGTGGGTGGGACGATGAGGTGGATGGTTGGGCAGGGATGTGGGTGTCTGGGTTGGGGAGGTGGTTGGAGTGGGTCGTGCAGGTGGGTGGGTGGGAAGGGTAAATGGGTGGGTGGGACTGGGAGGTGTGTGGGTGGGGCGGGGAGGTGGGTGGGGTTGGTCAGGCAGGTGGGTGGTGGGATGGGGAGGTGGTTGGGTGAGGCTGGGAGGTGTGGTGGGTTGGACGGGGAGGTTAGTTTGGTGGGTCGAAACTCATCGTTTACACCTCTTGGTCTTGTAAGAGGAAATTTAAAGCAGGAACACCGAAAACTGTAAAGAGGTTGAATGGAACGAATGAAACTATCTGACTTGATTATAGCACCAAAAAAAGTGTCAATCATATATCACATCTTAAAACATTGGTAGAACATGAATTTTTTTCTTCAGATACTCTATTGTAAAGTTTTCTTCACTCCAGCATCTCGTACATGGACATAGAATATAGTTACAACTGTTCTCTCGACTCCCTCAAGATTTATGACGTGAAACCTAACGGGAATACGCAGCTAGCAATGTTTTGTAACGGAAAAGACACTAGCAAACATATTGTAGCCACCACTTCAAATTCTATGTTAGTTGTTTTTAAAACAGATCATTCTGTTCAAGGCAGAGGCTTCAGTGGATACTATCGAAGTTTCGGTAAGCTTAGATATCTGGTGGGATCTTGTTAATTGTTCTTACAATAAATATTTTGTCTTTAAGAAAAAAAGTTGCTCTGTTCTCTAACGTCATTAAATAAAAAATTTAAGAATTATTATTTTGTTTTAACTGCTAAATAAACATAAATTGCATAAGAATAAATCTGAATTTTGACTATTAACAAAATATTTTTCTTTAAAAAAATACTTAAATTACATATTACATTTCAGACAAAGTCAGCAACCTCAAGCTAACACGATCAACTTTCCTCATAATATAAGTATTTCTGTCTCATTTAACTAAAACAAAGCTCGTCTGTCTTTAGCTTACAACGCAACAATAACAGAACCAAGACGAGGCTACATCGCTAGTCCAGGTTATCCACTGAAGTACCCGGCGAATTCCTACTTCTCCTGGACCATCACAGGAACACCGGGTAGTTTTATTTCCTTGATGTAAATACTTTCACTTTCATATCCATAACAATGCGCATTATAAATTGAACAATCATGTGCCGAGATGTGCGTAAAGTCAGTAAACGCTTTGAAATGTGTTGTGATTAAAATATATATAGATTTATAATTTTTATTATTTTTTTATGGCTGCATGCATTGATTTAAAAAAAATAAAAGAATTTCCACTTGAAAATAATGAAATAAGCAAGAACATAAGAAATAAATTTCATAAGAGCATCTTTATGACTATTTACTATTCTATAAAACCAAGATAACACGCTTAAACATAAGGAATGCGCGTAAAACAAATGATCAAATGAGTAAAATAAAATATATTGGATATATTTTATATTATAATTATCTTGTTTTCCCAGAGCTACTTCCATTTTACTATCACTGAGTAAAGGCCCTTGTTTTTTCGTGACATAATTCAGTAGTTCCTCCACATTCTTTTCAAGTTTCCATTTCTCACATTTTTATTTCTTCACATTTGAAGAAAGTGGAGAATGAATTTTAGGTTTATCATAATTTCTCTCACTTTGATCTACAATCATACAATATTTAGTGTTACTAATGTTTGCACAACATTAAAACAAAAGCTAAAACAACTACACAGCTTCATTCCTAGGTCTTTACAGACAAATCACAAACAAAACAACATGACTACTGGGTACAAGAAACTGGACATTTAATTCAATAATAATAAAAATGGAAGCTACCATGACGATACAAAAAAATATATATGTTCTGACAATGATCCATCGTGTTGACCTTCTAAACCATGAGAAAAATAATAATTTGTGGACATAACCCACATACCTCAAACACGTCACAACCCTCACACCTCATATAACTCACTGACATCACATATTTCACATACCTTAAACGCACCTTACTTACCACATACTTAACAGATTTCTCACCTCACGTAACTGACATACCCCACACTACTGACATACTTCACACCTCACGTACCTCAAATAATTCTCGCCTCACATACATCACACCTCACATGTCTCACCTACGTCACACCTTACATACCTAACACATCACACACCTCACATACCTCACACCTCACATGCCTCATATCCCTCATAACTGTTTGCAATCGATACATATTGCAAGCCCAGTACACACATTTTTACATATTTATTTTAGATCAGAATTCATTCGATCATTTCATCGCCAGGTGTCAATTCCAGAACATTCGGTTATTTTAACATAAACTATATTTAAGTAGTATGTGATTTGTTCAAAGTATTACATTCAGGAACAATGCTCTATTTAAAGTAGTCCACTTGTTTAAATTAGAAAACAAAATAAACATGTTTAGAAGCCAGAAGACTTTATGTAGTTAAGTTAAGAAACCAAAAGATTCTTTATGTAGTTAAGAATAAAAACCAGAAGAGACTTAAAGTTATTAAATTTAAAGAACACGAAAAATTAAATTTGCATTATTTGAAAAAAAAATCCTATCTTTTTACCCATACTAAAAACAATAATGCCACTAGTGGTGTACATATTTATTGTGTATTAAAATATAATCTTAATGTCTTTGGTGCAAGTACCGTTATTATTCTAATTCTTTGGGCCTACTATGTATTACCTAAGTGAACTTGTATATTCAAGGTAGAAATCGTTAAAATGGCCATCTTTAAAAAAAGTCCTCAATATTTAAAATAAAAGTGTGTATTTTGTCTAAAGGTTTGTATTTTTTTTCCTTACAGTATTTTGAACTTATCAATTGAAAACACTTTCGAACACATCAATATATATGATGGAGACAATATAAATACAAGAACTCTAGCTCATATGGACTCAAACAGTGTTTCTCAGCCAGTTTTCATGTCTACAGGCAGCTCATTGCACATAGTCTTTAGATCTGATTCTTCATATGAGTACTCAGGATTGTTGGCAAGCTACGAAATAAATGGTACAAATTCGTCTCACCCCCCCCCTCCCACATTTCAACTACTGTTTTATTTACTTTAGGATTTACTTGAAAATAATTTACTGTTTTTTTTCCAGGATATTTAAAATAAAGTCAAATATCAAAATAAATGTACATATTTATTGGCTTATCATTTCATCCAATTTTAACAGAAAATCAACTGAGTTAGCAACCTTTTAAAAACATACATATTCATTTTGTAAAATAATAATGAGTATTGATTACTTATAATTATCATTACTGTAGTTAAAAGCTGATGGATGGATACAAATGCAATTGGTTACTGGAAAATATGTATCAAAATTATTTTTTTGGCTTGAGATAAATATTTTTTGCAAAATTTTGTGTATTTACAAGTATTTTTTAATAAAAAAAGTTATATGAATTACATTTGAATTGCTCATTACAATTTACAGAATGTCAAACAATTTTGACTGGTACATCTGGTGACATCGTGAGTCCAGGATACCCTCTCAACTATGTTGAAAATCTCAGCTGCAGTTGGACAGTCATTACTGATCCCAATACCATTATATTTCTAAGGTTTGATTACATTTAAAACAAGGTCTCAAATCCCCTGAAATACTGTTAAACAGAAGGACTGCAACAAAGAAAAGATAACACTATAAGGCGTATTATTATATTTTACTAATGTCTTAATAATTTATTTTGAGAGGTCTATTTTCTCCTTAAGGAGTTTTCCTTTTTAGGCATGTCTCAATTAGTAAACTAAAACTTGAGGTCTGTGTTTCACTTAAATATATATAACAAGAGTGAGCAATGCTGACGTAACACTAGAGAATCGACAATTATTTAAATACGTTCGGATCCTTAAAAACAACCGTAGTTATTTTCTTCTATTTTACGGAAATCGAATTAATTGAAATGTGCAAAAAATAACATAAATAAGCGTTTATTTTAGTAAAAGTTTAAGTATTATATATTATTAAAAATTACTAATTATTTGAAAGTAACAACCAAGGAACAATTTTAAGCAGTTTTTTTCTGAATTTAAAAGTTACGAAAAAAATAATAATACAATTATAATCTGAGAATCACATCGAAATCAGATTTATCGGGAAAACTCAAACATCAATTGTTTTTATTGCGTTTTAAGGGCTTTCTTAATATTGGGAAATAAAATTAAAATTAATTTCTTCTTAATAAACATGAGAATCTCCAATTTTAGCCAAAACTGTTAAGTTTCTTTGATTTAATAACCACGAGTTATAAAATTGATATAGATTTTACCCCTTTTTAAAATTGAAAATAATAAATATAATTAATTGCTCTTTAAATTGTTAATTTAACACACACACATTTTTGTTTTGCATTTTTAAAATTTAATAAGTTTTTCTTTTTTAATTCCAAAAATATACTTTTATTGAATTTATAACGTAATAAAAACTTACCCTTAAATATACTTCCAAAAAGATAATGCTGTTTATAAAATCAGTGCAGCGTGACTCAATAGCCAACAACATTACCTACTCCACTTATAACTCATTCAAATAAAAAAAAAAAAATTCGAAAGGCAAAACACATTAGTTTGGGTATGGAAGGGAGTGCAATCCTTTGGAAGATTTTAATAGTTTTATTTAAATCTGGTTGTGGGGAGGGGTTGGTCATTTTTCCCCAGGCAGCAAAAGATACGTCTCAAAATAAAGGAATGAATTTGATTAATAATTAAACTACTTATTAGATGCATGTCGGGGGTAGGAAATAAGATGTGTATATTTTTACGTGGATGAATTTATATTTAAATATATGGTGTTACATTTGTGGAAAAAAAGAGATGTAACATTCTTTTTTAAAAAACATGCGTATGTTCATTTTGTCCAAGACAGATGCGCCTCGAAATAAAGGAGTGAATTTGATAAATAATTAACCTTCTTGGGTAGATGCATGTCGGAGGTATGAAATAGGATTTGTATATTTTTACGTGGATCACAAAATATTTATATCTTGTGGTATTACATTTGTGGAAAAGGAGATATTACATTCTCTTGTTACAAATAAACATAGCTTTACAAAAGAAGCAAATCAATGACGTTAACAAATCGTTTGTACATTGATATAAGTATACCCTTGAATATCAAAACCCAATCATTTTGCACACTTGAAAATTAATTTTGAAAAACGGAGATGGGTTAATAAGTTCTTTCAAAAAAAAAAAAATGTATTTTTTGTTTTTACATTGCAAAGCGTAAAGAGGTGTGTATATTTATGCGATTAAAAATAATTTCAATTTGTATGCACTCAATTCTGTTATAAACTTGAAAGTCATTTTTGCGCGAATCTTCTTTAGATAAAATAATGCTTTGTTTTCTGATAATGTATAATTTTAAAAAAAAACATGGCAAAAGTGTGTTTACATTTTTGATGAAGATATCAATATATAAAATTCATTTAATGTTAAATATATCATATTATTATGCTTTTCAACACTTTTACAGAAAACAAAATAGTAAAACAAGGGCGTGAATAGGGGTAAATTTAAAGTATTTCTCTAACGTAGAAATCGTCCCTCAATTAACTTCTTTAGTGACAAAAGTTATATAACTAGTGATAATTTAGACTGGAAAATTTAAGATTATGTTAAGATTGAAAAAAAGTAATCTAGGGGCGTGAAAGGGAGTAGGGTGAAGATATAATATTTAGTTGATATATATTTCTTAAAACTTAATTATGTTAGAAACGAAAATATCATTACACAGACGCTTCTTTTTAAAGTTGGGAATGGTGATGGGTTTTTGCAATAGCAGGTAGAAATGATCCCAATGGATCTACTAATAAAACCCCGATAACATCGCTTCATTTATTCTAGTTTATTATAATAAGCTTAATATATGTTTTTAAATTCCTATCATTCAAATGAAATTTCCTATTTAAATTCATAATCATCCTAAAAAAAAAAATCTGTGTAACAATTTTAGAATATTTGGTAATCTGACATGATATAAGCTAGATAATCATTCTAGAATATATATTACAATTGACATAATATAAGGTGTGCACCCATTTGGAATGATTTGATACTGGCATGGTATTAACTAGGGGACTTTTCTAGATTATTTTAAACTTGATTTGATACCACATTCTAGAATATTTTTAAGTTGACATTATATACGATAAGGATTTATTCTAAAATATTTTACATTTTGCATAGTATAAGTTAAGCACTCATTCTGGAACGATTTAAGTTGACATGATATTAGCTAGGGACTCATTCTAAAATAATCAAAACTTTGCAATATCAGCTATGAAGACGCTCTATAATATTTTTTAAACTTAACATGATATTAACCAGGGTTTTATTTTAGAATATTTGTTAAGGTTCCTAATTAAACATTTGAACATATTCTTACGTTTTCCAGAATAAAGGACATTTACTTGAACGGCCAACTTGATTGCACATTTGACCACCTAGAAATATATGATGGAAGAGATATAAATTCTCCACTCCTTGGCACGTTTTGCTATCCAATGTCAACAGCTACACTAGTTTCAACATCGAACACCCTACACATCGTGATGAAAACGGACGGAAGTCGCAATTACAAAGGTTTTAGAGCAACCTACAATAGTGTTGGTAATGACATCATCTTAATTTGTATTTATTTTTTTTTTTTAAATTGATATGTACCAACAATAAAATACAAACTTTTGGTTCCAGTAATAGTTTTACAAAAGGTTTTTGAAATGGAAAGGTTAAAATATAGGAGCTAATAGATATGAAATTTCGCTAAACAAATTACGATTGTGTTAAGCAATTTCTTATGATGAACTGACATTTTTAGTACAAGTTTCATAATTTAAGAATACATGGAGTTAAAATATCGCTTCTTAGAGAAAATCGGTCAAAGGTCTTAAAAATAAGTATTTGAAAAAAACGTATGGTTTGGTTAACTTATCTTTTTTTTTTTATATTTTAAAATATGTTTTTAAAACTTCTTTTACTTCCTTGAGATTAACGAAAAGTTAAGGCCTCAGATGAACCTGAGAAGTTTTGGCTATTTTTCAGATACATTAATTTTTATGTTTAACAGTTTTTTTTCAAGTACCAGGAACTAAATTAAACAGTACGCGGTACACATGGAGTTACTATCTTCTGACTTCACGTCTCTAAATTGAAGTACCTTATGTGCCGAAATGAACAGTACGGAAATTCATTTGACATAGAACCTTTCCTAAAGGTGTAATTACCTAACAATAGACGGCATAAATTTGTTACTAGGTGCCATACTATTAAAACCTATCTTCCTTTCCAGTAATAGGAACACTATGCTGCTTGAGATAGACACCGTTTAAAAAAAACAAAACAAAATAGAAACGCCCAAGGTTGTTTCATCACTGCTAGTTTCGTCACTTACTTTATTTGAAACAAATATGTTATGTAACACGTGTCTTGTTTTCTTTCTTTATTTCAAATACATTCTTGACATTAAAATTACCACAATTAACAAAAAAAAAAAAAAAACTTCTAGACTGGGACGCTGAGGTCCTCAAAACGATCAAGTTAATTTTAAACAAATATGTTATGTAACACGTGTTTTTTTTTCTTTCTTTATTTCAAATACATTCTTGAAATTAAAAATACCACAATTAAAAAAAAAAAAAAAAAAAAACTTCTAGACTGGGACGCTGAGGTCCTCAAAACGATCAAGTTAATTTTTATTTTGTATTCACGATGTGTGTGGTTATATTTCTTCTCATTTTCCATCTGACTAAAGACCTCCCGCTTGCCGCTGTGTGTAACAGCTCCAGCACGTGCGTCCAACATCCTGTTTCTTTACTTGCAAGCTGTGTGTGTCCAGATAACTATTACTACAACAGCTCGACACAAACGTGTTCTGAAGGTAATACAAAAAACAAGTGTTGATACAAAGTGTATGGGAAATAAAGCTAAATATATGATTAAACTCAGGCAAATAATAGACGTCTGGTTTTACAATATTTGCACAGCTTTGATGCATTGATTATATGATTTTTGGATGATTCTTGATGAATATGAATGTTGTATGAGCACATCAATGTAATTATATGTACTCGTTGAAAAAAATGAATATTTGATATGAAATGAAGTGTCTGAAGTTACAGAGAAACTTCCGTGTACTTGACTGTTGTCATGTTATTATGTTATACGGAAATATACCCATTGGTCGTAATCCTGCATCGTTATCTGGAGAATTCTGTGAATAAAGTTGATTTCCTCAAAAAAATAAAATTGCACACGTGGACATTTTTTATGATCGTTAGCGAGATCTCGGGCTCCAAGACAAAATCGAATCGTTTTGTTGTTTAATTTCATGTTGCATTTTAAAATTAATTTTCTTTAAATCTTACATTTTCATTGTGAAGCTTTGGGCGAAACAAGCGTTTGTGACACTCGAGTACCAAGAATGTGCAGGAGGGAGCCGCATCTTGAGTGTCGACCTGACACGATGGGTGTCACTAGGTGCCTCTGTACTTCAGGGTCGTTATACAATGGGACCCATTGTTTACCATGTGGGTATTTAAAATTTAAAAAAAAAAATGTCTTGAGTTTTAGCCTACTCTCCATAGAACAACAAGGAAAAAAATAACTTAAATTTAATTTGAGATAGTTTCTTTTCATTAATTTTTTGTAGATTGTTATATAAATATAAATCAGTGAAAATACACATAAAAACAATTTGCAAATAAATTTCTAACTTAAAAATAAACAATATTAACATACAAGTTGGAACTGTAATACATACTTGTCCGTATAAAACTTTAATCTGCATTTGTTGTTTATCGGAGGTACTTGTGATTTGAAATAATCTTTATTACATACAATGCTTTTTTTCCAGATTCAATACTGAGAGTAGTGCTGACCAGCTCTCCTCAAATCCAAACAAGAGAGGTGGCATTGAACTGGGCCATTGGTACACAAGCTCAACCTGTTACTTATAACATAACTTGGGTAGCCACTGAAGACGGCGGCGATGGTGGTGAAATTGTAGCTGGTCCCAGTGGTGTCCATGTTCAGGGACTGACGCCAGGAACAGAGTATAATTTTACTGTAGTATCTATAATACAAGGGTTAGATTACTACAAAGACATCATTGTTACTACAAATTTTACAGTGGAAACAAGTACGTTTTTAAGGCATTTAATTATTATTTGTTTTACATTATGATAAATTACCAATAATCTATACGCATTATAGATAGCCACTATGAATTAAATGTGTTGTTCTCTTTCACACAAGTATATGTAATGTATATTTTTAAAAGTCGTTTTTTTTTTTCGAAGCAATGGTTTAAGTATGACAACATCAAGTTTAGTGTTAGACAGATTGTGTAGTTTTTCGGATCACTTGTAGCAGTGTGTTGATCTCGGTAGACTACTTATAATTTATTTTAAAATCGATACAATTTAATACAAGGAATTCATAAGATACTTCATGTGACAGGGCGAGCAAGGCACACTTTAGGCTTTCCAATGATTCTATGCCACACCTTACTTTTTTCCAATGATGTAATGGCACACCTTACTTTTTCCAAAGATGTAATGGCACACCTTACCTTTTTCCAATGATGTAATAACACACCTTACTTTTTCCAAAGATGTAATGGCACACCTGACTTTTTTCCAATGATGTAATGGCACATCTTTGTTTTTTCCAATGATGTAGTGGCACACTTTAGGCTTTTAAAATGATATAATGGCACACCACACATAAAAACAGAACAAACTATTTGTAAACAGAACTCATACACGAGTTAAAGATGAGTCGGTAGAAATATTTTGTAACATTCATAATTATTTGTATTGTTTAGAAAAATCAGTTTTTACTAAGTTGCATTTCTGCGTTATTTTGAAGTGATTCCACCTAAATTATGGACAGCTTGCCTCAATCTTTGTGGGATATTAATTGACAATATAAGAAATTCATTTAAGGAAAATTTAAGACATTATTCTTTAAAAGGATTTTAGGAGATTAGAGCCCTGGGAGCATTCTAAAATAGTACACAATTGCTGTAAAGGTATTCAATAATCATCATTATCATAACATTAATTGTATATCTTGGACAATGTTTAGTTGCAGCTGTGGAATGTCCGATTTAGTTCCTTGGAACAGTTCTTTAACCTTATGATCATTTAGCCTTAATTATGTGTATGATGTTGATACATTCTTTCATAGTTTGTAATAGCTTTTCTCAAAAATAATTAGTTTTCATAGAGCGATGTGACTCTAAGACGTTCAAATAGCCTGTGGTATTTTAAACGACTGTCATTTTAGTCTGTGGCATTTGACTAGTCTTGGAAATATGACTAGTATGTGGTCTTTGACTAGACTGTGGTATTTTACTCGTCTGTTGTATTTGACTAGTCTGTGGTATTTTACTAGACTGTGGTATTTGACTAGTCTGTGGTATTTGACTAGACTGTGGTATTTGACAAGACTGTGGTCTTTGACTAGACTGTGGTATTTTACTCGTCTGTTGTATTTGACTAGTCTGTGGTATTTGACTAGTATGTGGTATTTGACTAGTCTGTGGTATTTGACTAGACTGTGGTATTTGACTAGTCTGTGGTATTTGACTAGACTGTGGTATTTGACTAGTCTGTGGTATTTGACTAGACTGTGGTATTTGACTAGACTGTGGTATTTGACTAGTCTGTGGTATTTGACTAGACTGTGGTATTTGACTAGACTGTGGTATTTTACTGCGCTACCAGTTTCAAAATTAGAGCATAATGAACTTTTGTAATCCATGCTTAAATCATTAACTCTAGCTTGATTATTTTGCAGTTTTCCGTTCCACTGAAATTAAAAATATCGACACTTTGTATATAACAAATAACACTATTATAAACAACTTCATATAAACTTCCCCCCAGTGCCAGCCCCACCAGGTAAACTCAACGAAAGTTCCAGCAACTTACACAGCATTCCTTACGTGCTGAGATTTGAGCCTTCTGAAGGGAGGGTAGCACGGTACAGCATAACTGTTGGTGGCAAGTCTTACGAGATGTTCAACCCAGAGCTGACCGTCAACGATTTAAAGCCTGATACACAATACAACTACACCATAACTGCTTACAATAAACGTGGACTGGGCAGTGATGACGTCACAGGAAGATTTAAAACTGAACCAGGTGAAAATTAATTAATAAATTCATAAATATTAAATAGTAAATGATGCAATTAATGTCATTAAGAGAAAGACACAAAAGGGGCAACAATAAAGGTCATTAAGAGAAAGAAACACAAAGGGAAATAATTAGTCTCATTTAGCGTAAGAAACAAAAGTGGTCATAATTATAGTCATTAAGAAAAAGAAACAAAAGGGGCAACAATAGAGGTCGCTTAGAGAAATAAACAAAACAATTGGAGCTACTATTAAGTGGACGTTTAGTTTATTTCTTGGATATGCTGAACTGGCTTTTGTCTTGACCTTTGCTATAACTCTAAATTAATTTTTAAAGTGAAAGCTCCAAAGTAAGTGGGGGTTGGGGGGTGGGGAGTCGGACATTAAATCGACTTATAAACATGAACACTTTTATATCTCAACATATTTCTATTTCAACTGAATAAAACTATTGAAGCCTTTTTTTATACGTTTTTAAAAATTAATTGTGACTGTTAGAATTTTAATATTTGTTTGGTGAAAAATTGTCTTTCTATTTTTCCAAAAAAAATTTGCTTTCATTAAATATTAAATAATATTGCAATTTTAAATCTTTAAACACAATTTGATGTTAGCCTATTTTTAAATCTTAATTTTTCTCGTTACCACATTAACGTCCATTCCATTTTAGTGGCTACAGTTAAGCAAGACGAAGAGTCACTAAACGTTCCTCTGATAGCTGGAGTCACTGCTGCCGCCGTGCTTGCCGTAGTCATTGTTGTTGCCGTTGTCGTGACGCTGGTTGTCAGAAAGAGAAGAGGAAACAGGTCAGTCCCTAACAAAAATATATTGTTTTTTATTGTTATTTTCCATTTAATATAGTGGTGGTATTTTATGATCTAATGTATTTATTTGAGACTCAGTACCAAGCACACACCAGAACTCGTGATGCACACTAAGTTTAAACCACAACTCTTAGTGTAAACTAAGTAATAACAACTCGTGCTGTACACTAAGTTCAAACAATAACTCATAAAATACATTAAGCACAAAACCACAACTAATGATGTACGCTAAAGTAAAAATCACAACACCTCATGACGTACACTAAGTAAAAAGACACAACAACTCATGATGTACACTAAGTTAAAATCACCACAACTCATGATGTACGCTAACCAAAAAACCACAAGTCATGATGTACACAAAGCTAAAAAACACAACTAACGATGTACACCAAGTACAAAACCACAATTCAAGATGTACACTAATTACAAAACCACAACTAACTATGTACACTAATCACAAAACAACACCTCACTATGTACACTAAGTGTTATCTGTAGGAAAGAAAAAAAGATATATCATTACAGTAATTGATAAGTTGTTTAAAACATCCAGAACTTAACTCGCTGCTACTATCATGATTTAATTCGAGAGGTGTTCCATTTTTTCCAAGCAAACCTCCTGCCAGTGAGACTATTGAGAACATTGATCACAACGAGATCGTATGTGGTTCACCAACAGCCCCCACACCATCAACTAGAGCTGTGATGAATAGATATATGACCATGAACATTGGTGGTCTCCGTGCTAACGATGAGACAGACGAAATGGGTGAGTACAACGCATACCAAAAGTATAAATGTAACATATATCACTTATATTTATATATATATATATAACATAAATATATAACTGACCGGCAGGTATGTATAACACACACATTAGGTGTGTCTCTAACAGACCTTGTTATGATGGTATTTTTGTAATTATTTTCCATGTTTAATTTTTGTTCCCAGATGGAAGAGAGTACGATTACGTCACCGAGTCACAGATTGATTCATGGCACGATGTAACCTATCAGAACATACAACCAACAAACGATGCTGGGAACTTGGATACACAGGATTTAGAAAACGTCTATAATAATGATCGTAACCTCAACGAACAATATGTAGAAAACGTGTACAACAATGTTGCCTATGTGTCGAGTTAAGCATCATCGGGAGGTTAAAAAAAAATGATGAAGAGTCAACATTTTTATGGAAACTAAAGACGTTTTCCTAATATTCCTTACATAGATGCATGCCTTAAAATAAAAGGTCAACATGCCAATATTAATTGAAATTCTGCTATGATATGACCGAAAAATCAGTTGTTTGTCAATACAATCGTATACATATCCATGTAGCTCAACTTTAAATTATGTTACAGATTTGAACTTGGATGGGGTTTGATTTTAACATAGCCATTGTCTTTCTGTAAATGGCACGCTGCCTAGAATTAGTTTTTAGTAGATGTAAATAGTAGATGCTACATGATTAAACTTCTTCGATAAACACATTTCATGGGGAGGAAATAGAGTGTGTACATTTTATAATACATGGATGACGCTATCTTTAAATGAAATTAAATTCAATATAAAAATAACACTCAACCCTGATGCAGATACAAACATTCGTTTAGAGATTCTTCTTTAGATAAAATAATCCTGTCCTTTGCGATTTTCCGATACTACAGTAGAAAAGCGAGGGAAAAATTAGGTTACATTTTTAATTACCATACAAATATATCAATTTCTGTTAAACATAACCGATATTACAATTAAGAAACAGCTTTTTGTTGTAAATGTAAATATATTATGTGTTTACAAATTTTTAACGAAAAAAATTGTAGTTTAGGGGCATGAAAAGGGGTAAGGTGAGCCTATTATATATAGTAGCTAAAGGTGTATCAAAATTTTATGATTTTTAGAAATATAAACATCATTACTATGTAAATAAAATATATACCAATTTAAAAAAAAATAATATACGAATTCAGATGAACTATTTTCTATTGCTTTTTGTATGTGTACGCATAGATATATATATAAGGGTGGTCTAAACTGAGGAAACCTCAAATTGGTAGTGTTGAGTTCAATTCCAGCCAAAGGCCAGTCAAGCAAAGGCCGGGTGGATGGGACTCGTTAACCTTGTTAACTCATATGAATTCAAACCCGGAGCTGGAGTCCCGTAGAGCGCATACAATGACAAGAGAGAGAGTGCGTGAGGTTGACGCCGCGCAACTCTGAATCACTTTCAACAAAAGTCACCCGCGCAAATCATCAGGACTGATGGTCATCGTCGATCTTCGACGAACGAACAATAATATACGTGCACATTGAATTGTTGGGCTTTGAGAGTTTGCTAAAGGAGGTCGAAAGTATTGCAAAAGGCCTACCATTATTATACAGGTAACTCCGCGTTTTATTCTAGTATATAAGAATTTCAATCACAGGATGCCTTTAAATATGTGTTTAACTGCCAAGAAAAGTAAAAATCAACACTAAATGGATTTCTTAAAAACAACGTTAGAATTTTTTTTTAAAAAGTCAATATCTAATCAATTTAAATGTGACCTTACTATATAAGTTATCTTTAGAATTTATGTATTAATATTCTGAATAAGTAAAGAAATATTGTTTTAATTATTTTTCTAAATTTGAGAGTTAAAATAATTTTTTTTTAAATTCCAGCAAAATAACGATATCCGATTTTCCAGGTTCCCAAAGGGACTTCTAATAAAAGAATGTCAACACAATGCTATCGTTTGTCTGTTTTGTTATTAATTTGACAGAAAATCTAATTTAAAGTTTTAGTGGATTAACGTAAACCGTGCTCTGTGAGGTTGATGCTCAGCACCACTTGCTCGACTGGTGTTACAAGGGATTTTGCCTCTTCGTGGCGTGACCGACTAGTGGGGGGGGGGGTTGGTTCCCTTCTGAAGCGAAAAAATCCCAGGCAAAACGCATGACTTCCTCCGCAACGGAAGTTGCGTGCTAACATGATTACGTGTCGCCGATAATGGATATGAGGCTTGAGTTTTCTTTAAAA